AGGAGACTTCTGACCCTCACAAGAATACACTGTGAGAGCTGCCACAACCAGAGTAAAGCCCCACGTTCTGGTCCATTCAAGTCAATGCTCTAGCCAGAACCGGGTCCCTCCCTCCGCCTCACACAGGAGGCTGGACATCAGCAAACTCTGCACGCAGGATTATCCTCCAGGAAACACCTGCAGCGCTGACCTTGTCCCCTGCCTGAGTGGGAGGAACAAAAGCACACCAGCCACAGACTATTCTGGTCCTACAAACCATCTTGGGAGCAATTGGTCCGGGTGCTGTGAGAAGAGGAGGGGAATCAGGTCCCTGAGAACTGACCAACAGCGCTCTTAGCAATCTGTGGACTGTCTCCAACCCAACACAGTGTGAGTTCAAAAAGGAGACACAGTCAGCCCCGTTTACAGACAAGTGCCCAGTGCCACATACTAACCCACCTCTTCTAACTTCAACATGCTCAACCCACTATATTTTCTTTCAGTCTGGAAATCATTTCATTCTTCACCAAGAAATTAAAAAAAAAAACTAAAAATGACAGACATTTTATTAAATCTTCAAAACCTTGTGAAATATGACACAGAAACTGTCACTTTTTAAGTTAAATAAATTTTACTCTCTCCCATACATAATTTCATGATTATTGACCAGTGTTATATCTTTTGTGAAATGTTTGCCAAGCTATTGGTAAGCTTTTTCTTCTGAGCTTTCTGTCTTATTAGTTTGTAAAATGTTTTAAATGTACCCTTTTTATTTAAGAACTCTGTCACAGACATGTTCTCTCACTCAGCCTCATGTTCTCGTCACCCTGGGACCTTCCCTCAATGCTGCTCACAGCGAGCCTTCTTTTATAAAACTGTTTCCCGGGCAACTTCGAAACATTGGACCACGACATCTTGTTCTCGTTTCCTCGTGCCTGGTCCACAGTAAAATGCCTGCTAATGGGTAGAGGAGGAAAGGGAGGGGGATTAATCCCAGGTGTGACAGAGAGACCCAGCCGCTGCCCTAAGGCAGCTACAGCTAAACCGGTTACAATTGTGATCAGCCCTGACGTGGGGTCTTGGCTAGCATGGGCTGTTGTCATTAAGAGACAGCTGGCTCTGGTAAAGGACCTACAGACACAGCACACCCAGTGAGGAGAAGCCACAGCTTGTCACCACTGACCCAGATGCTCTGAATCCTTATATGTCCATTTTATGAAAGGGGCTCAGAAGAGGTCCTCCTCATCCTTGGGAGTTCCTTTTTTGTGTGCTGTTTTGCTTTATTTTACAGCCTGGAGATTAAACCGAGGGCCTTGCACATACCAGGCAGGCACACTACCTTACTACCACTGCTCTATAGCCTCCAGTCTAGCATAGGTATTCCCTGAGGAGACAGAGAAGCAAATTCCACCAGAGTTCTGTCCTACTCCACTGTCACAGAGTCAGTTTCCACTCTTTAACATTTACATTCCCACAGCACTGGCCACCGACTAGGTAAGGAGGACAAGATAACAATGCCATGTGGTGTTATCTAGTTCTGATTCCTGGACCTCAGGCTTCCAAACATGAGCACCCCCACCCAGTAAGCCACTCACTGACATACTCTGGGAGCATCTAGACGCCCCAGGAACTGAGCCAAGCACCAGAGAAAGCCCAGCGCAAGGTTATTTTTAGCTTATCTATCCTGTTGTCAAGGAGACTCACAAAGACTGCTGGGTCCCCAGGCAGAAAAGGACAAAAACAGAGGTAGAGCTGGGGAAGCAAGGGGAGGATGCTAAGAACCTCTCTGTCAGGCAGAGCAGCACCTACCCGCCTGCAATCCTGAGATCTCAGCCCAGGAGGTTGAGGCAGGGAGTCTGCTCTGAGACGGAGGCCTTCAAGTCAGTCAAGGATACATAGTAAAACTGTCTCAAAAACAGAGTAAGTCTCCATGGGCCTTTTATGAACCTCAAGCCTGATACTACACCTTCCCAAACCTGATTCTACTTCTTAAAAGAAGAAGAGGCGTTCTGAAATACAAGTCAGTAAAAGGAGATAAAGAACTATCGTAAAGTTCTTTGATTGTGTTACTCCCAAGACCCTAAGGTGACTAGAATGAAGGACTAAGAAATGGAGTAGGTCTAGAAGGAACAAGCCTGCAGGAAAGGAACTCCCTAGGTCTCACCTGCCTCCAATGAGCAACCTCAGGATCTCTCTGGATAACACCTTGGAGCCCCACCTAGGAGTACTCGCTAGACAAAAGGCCAACAACCATTGCTGACACCACTCCAGCTACGCACACTCACACCCAGGCATGGCGCTCAGGACCAAGTTCACCAAGGGACAAGAAACTTGTGAGAGCCTTCAGCCTGCAGGTTTTCTGGCCTCTCCTCAACTCACAGGCAAAGGCCTCCCACTCAAGAAAGCAGCTGCTCATGTGGACATGAGGGAAATGGAGTGCTTACAGCAGCTTCCCCAGTGGGCAGAAGGCAGGGACCTGGAGCCAAATCCTGGCCCAGAATAAAAGCAGCACACTCTTCAGAGAAAAATGGGGGGGGGGGGGGGGTTTGCTCTGCAGTGAAGAGGGCTGGCTGCTCTTCCTGAGGACCCAAGGTCAGCTCACAGCACTCACATCTGTGTTACTCCAGCTGCAAGAGGTCTGACGCCCTCTTCTGACTTCACCAGGGACCAACATACATGTAGCACACACATGAAAATTTTAACGTTTTGGGTTGGTTGTTTCTTGTTTTGTTTTGTTTAAGTCAGATGTGGAGCCAGGAAGATGGCTTAGTGGGTAAAGACAGCTGCTGTCAAGCTGATGACCTGAGTTCAATCTCTGGAACCCACAAGCTGAAAGAAGAGAATTGACTTCCATAAAAGTTGCCCGCTGGGGCTGGTGAGATGGCTCAGTGGTTAAGAGCACTGCCTGCTCTTCCAGAGGTCCTGAGTTCAATTCTCAGCAACCACATGGTGGTTCCCAACCATCTATAATGAGGTCTGGTGCCCTCTTCTGGTCTGCTGACACCAGAACACTGTGTACATAATAAATAAATAAATCTTTAAAAAAAAAAAGTTATCCTCTGGCCTCCACATATGCCCCCACCCCCTAATGAGTAAATAAATATAATTTACCAAACTAAAAATTCAGAAGTGCTGCGCTCCAGGAGATACCAAGAAAGACAGAAGCCCAGAAAAACCTTCCACAGGAGGTGGCAGCTTCAGTCTGGGAAGCAAGGCTGACTCATGTCCGTCACACTTAGCAGGCATCTCCCTCTCTGGTCTTACAATAGGGAGATGACTCCCTTACCTCATACATTGCTGAAAGTCTGCTGTGGCTACCCTGTCAGTCTCTCCCGCGCCCACCTCTCAGTAACACGCCCAAAGCACACAGTTCAGAAGCAAGAGAACCTTAAACACCTGGCCAACCTGGACATCACACAAAGGAGGAAGGGTCGAGAGAAAAACATTGGGCTGGAGAACTAACTAATTATTTGAATGCGGCATTTGCCTGCTGAGTTTCCTTATTTCATATAGGCAGCCTCCCCCCCCCCCAAATTAAGATTCCTTAAGCCAGTGTGTAATCTCTAACACATGCAGGCTACCTGCTAAAGCAACAATACATGTATGTGCTCACTCTCCACTGGGATGTACACAATACAGAAATGAGGGTCTCCTCCTCTACGGATTTGTTATTTTATCTTATACATATAAGTGTTTTGTTCTCTGCATGCATTATGTACATCATATGCATGCTTAATGCCCTTGGAGACCAGAAGAGGGTGTTGGATGTTGGGGACTGTGGACCCCCAGACCCTGAATTTCCTGTAAACAACTTGTTTTCCTGTGCTTGCAGCTGCTCTGAGCACAAGACAGGAGAGTGGTTTCTGGTGGGCTTGCAGCTGAAGAGTTAGAGCGTGGCCATTAGTCAAGGAGACCCTGTATAATCTGCCCTGTAACACAATAAAGGGGCATTCTTGACTCAAGGGAGCATTCTTGGCATTCTTGTTCAAGGATGGCCCATGACTCTGCATGTGGCTGTGTGTGTGTGTTTCAATCTCCAGCTCCTTGCCCGTCTCGTGAACCATAACTTAGCGCATAGTGAACCATAACTTAGCGCATAGAGCAGGCATTACGCTACGGTTGCATTCTCTGGAAACAAGAGTTACAGATGGCTGTGAACCACCATGTGGGTGCTGAGAACTGAACCTGGTTCTTCTGGAAGAGCAGCGAATGCTCTTAACCACTGAGCCATTTTTCCAGACCCTGGGTCTCTCCTACGTTTCTAAGAATGGGTGGTTTCCTAGCACAAGCTGCAGCCAGGGTGTCAGAGTCCCATGCAGGAGGCAGGAGGAACGAGGGAGCAGGATAAGCGACACCAGTGCTCTTTGCTGCATCGCTTCCTAGATGAGATCCTGACACCTGGGAGTCTGGTCACTAGGAGTCAGCATCTCAGTATCTTGTGGGGTATCTGAGAGGACGGCTGACGGTGCTGTGGTCTGCTCAGGCCCACCACGCTGTTTTTGTCTGATGCTGGGGCCTGAGCTCTCCTCAGAACCCATGCAATGCTGTTTTCTGTCTGTCCATGAATTAATAACTCTTCAAGTAAAATCCATGCACCCAACAATCCATCTTAGTGTTCCTCTTGAACCCACATTCAAGACCTTATACTATTCTACTGAATATACAGCACCCTCACCAACTCCCAGCTCACATGGACAACACCTAGCCTGCCTCCATTGCTACTTGGTGCTCCTGGAACCCACCCCTGCCTCCTTCCTGGATGGGCACAGGTCAGTGCATGAGGAACAGGTTGCTCCCAGGGCCCCTCCTCCTTCCCAAGAGCCTTCCTTCCTTTCTACTCCCCCGAGCCCAGAGCAGAAGATAAGCAGAGCAGCCCCTCAGCCTCCACCCATCCTCCCACAGTCCCTGAGCCAGTCTCAGAGGAGTGGGGATGCTGATGTAAACAGGAAACAGCTCCTCTCTGCAAGGAAGTGAAAACCGCCCCTCTGGATTCACAGATCCTTCAGGGAGAGGCAGCAGCACTTAGAGTGAGGACACAGGGAGAGTCCTGGACACCAAGAGCCAAGCAAAAAGACACTGTCATTGTTGGAGAAGCTGTTACTCAAAAAGTGCCTCTGACCAGCCTTCCAGACTCTTCACCCTCAGCCCAGGAGCACACAAGTCTCAGAACAGCACAGAAGTCTGGCTCCAACAGAAAGAGATGATGGAAGGAAGCAGAGAGCCAGTGGGTGAACAAGGAAGCCTCATGTCAAGGTCTGGACTTTGCTGTGGTGGAACCTCACTCAGCCCGCAACAGCCTATGCTAACTCATGCCTGCTACTGCTTTCTAGGTAGAACCCCTGTTGTTGACTTACACCTACTTCCTTCTCATTCCCACTCAATTCTCAGGATTTCATGAAGGACTGCCTTGGGCTCACAAAAGCAGCAACCTTTTGATGCTCCCCATGTGACATTCTGACCTTTAGAAGAAGTGTGAACGGGGCCCAGGAAGACAGAAGTCCCTGTGGACTAGGAACCCAGGTAACTGGAACTCACTCATCCTATTCTACACCCCATTTCTTTACCAGACACTAATTCTCTTTTATCTTGCTAAAAACTTCACATTTTACCTTAGTTTGTCTAAGAAGAGCTAAAACCTGGGGCAAGGAGACAAGCAGACCACTCATCGGGCTCTCATCCTTCATCCCCAAGGAAACGTCAAGTGGTGGCTCCCCAAGCTCTCCTCTCTCTGGGTCCCAATCCGCAAGTTCACGACTGAAGTGACTCCACAACTCACAAACTGTCTTTTACACTGCTTTCTATGCAAACTGCAAGCCTCCTCCTGGAGCAAAGACCTAGCCCTGCCATCTTAAAGAAGCCTTGGCCAGCTACCAGCACAATCAACTCCCCCACTTATGAGACAAGACCCTGGGAGAGAAACTGCTTAAGGAATGTCAGGATCCCCATGTCCTCTATGGGAAAGCCCAATAGGTTTCCATCTGAGTTCTTACAGGACAAAAAGATGAACGCCTACATGAGTACTGTATGGGCGGCGGGGACAACTGTTAGGGAGAACAAAGAAATACTTCTAGCCCTTTTCAATACTAATCCCATTTGACAAGTTCATATGTCTGAAGAAAAGGTCAAAGTCGAGTTTACTATGAGTCTGGACCTGTAGAAGCGAAGAGAACTTCCTCCCTGCCCTACAGAGAGCAACAGGAAAGGCGGCACACAGACTTTACCTCCAGAGGGAAGGGCAATCACAGGGCAGTGAACACTCATGACCCCAGGAAACAGAAACTTATTATCACTCTTCACGAGCACGCTGGCAATTCTGAGGGAAATGAGAGCCGGTGCTAACTGACCAAGTCTATCCTGCATGGAGTCAAGTCCTTCTTCCTGTGATGTGGTTCAGCAGCTCGCTGCTGAGAAATTTGGGAAGAGAAAGTTATAACTGCAACTCTGCTGGCCATTCCAGAACATTAAAGAAAGTTCCTCTGGGCGTCAGGAGAGTTAGGAGTGACCACAGGAGAGAAGCACCAAAAGATGCTGGTCCTGAGACTTAGTTAAAAACACACGTTGGGGGGCTGGAGAGATGGCTCAGAGGTTAAGAGCACTGCCTGCTCTTCCAAAGGTCCTGAGTTCAATTCCCAGCAACCACATGGTGGCTCACAACCATCTGTAATGGGGTCTGATGCCCTCTTCTGGCCTTCAGGCATACACACAGACAGAATATTGTATACATAATAATAAATAAATATTTAAAAAAAAAAAAACACACGTTGGGGTATCATTTCTGAGCCCTAACAGAGACACCCCCACCACAGCATGCCCTGCCTCCTAAAAGTCTCAACCAATACTGAGATTACAGAAAGTCCACTCAGCGAGATGAAAGTCATTACAGGCTCTCCTTACCAGCAACAGCACTCAGAAACATCAAGGCAGGGGAGGGTGTGCAGATTCAGCTTTTAAAAACCTAATTGACTGTAAACCATTTCACCAATCCAGGCAAAACTATTTAAAAGGGATAAGGGATGTTTGCAGAGGACACAGCATTGATGACCATGTATCCCATCGGGGCTCTGGAAAGCTACACTGGGCGGTTGCCATGTGCATGCCTGACCCACTGCCTCACCCCACTGCTTACCCTCCTCCCTCTTCTCACCACTTCCATCCACCCAGTCATCTAAGCAGGCTCAACAATACACAACTTCTAAAAGGCCATCCAATTAATGCACTTTCTTCCCTACTCCACAGAAAACCTTAGGGAAAAGCAGTCCCTGGCTGCACCATCCTCAGAGCACAGCCAGCCAATTTCATCTAAGCCCGGTCATCAACAGAACCATCACTGAATCCTCTGAATGCTCCATCCTCAGCTCAGTAGCTTCTGACACTGCTATTAAAAAGAAGAAAGAAAAAAAAGTCTGGCTTCCAAGCAGCACAGTCTCCTGGTCTGCCATCTGCCTCTCTGGCCAGGCTATCTCAGCCAGCCTTTTCTTCAGCAGTTCTTCTTTCTCAGCTTGTCCCTTAATTTGGGGGTCCCTCAGGAAGTTGTTCTACCACCGGACAGGCTCTAAGTAATCTCACTCAAATCAGGCCTCCACTGTCCTTCTCCTTCGGCGGCGGCAGAGGGGGGGGGGGTTGTGGTGGTGGGGGTTACTGGAGACCAAACCCAGGGCTTTATACATGCTAGGCAAGCTTTCTATACCACTAAGCTATATTCCAGGCATTTATGTCCAAATACCTAAAGGTACCTAAAATTTTCCACGTGTCCAAAACCAAATCTACCAGTTCCTTTACAACCCCCTCCTCCTACTGTGTAATTTATCTTAGCAAATGGTGGCATTCACCTTGAATTTCCTAGTGTGAAATGTGACTTCTCCCACAATCCTTACACCCATCACTAAATTTCTAAAAGCTACCTCCCAAACTGGTTTCAGCTACAATTCATCTTTTTTTATTGTTGGTCTTTTGTTTGTTTGTTTGTTTTCGAGACAGGATTTCTCTGTGAAACAGTCCTAGCTGTCTTGGAACTAGCTCTTGTAGACCAGGCTGGCCTCGAACTCACAGAGATCCACCTGCCTCTGCCTCCCGAGTGCTGGGATTAAAGGCTTGGCTACATTTTATTTTTTATTTTTTTAAATTTATTTATTTATTAAAGATTTCTGACTCTTCCCCCCGCCACCGCCTCCCATTTCCCTCCTCCACCCTAGACCTCTTGCAGAGTAGCCCAGTCTCCAAGTATTATGTCTAAATCCTTTCAAACTCCCTTAGGATCAGATCTTGGCTAAACTTCCAGCTCTGTCTCTTGCAGCCATTCTAAATGAGAGCTCGCACTTAAAAACTAGTGAGTTCTCAAACAACCTAATGATGCACCTCAAGACTCTTCCAGAGGACCTGAATTCAGTTCCCAGCAACCTTGCCTGGTGGGGGTCACAAGCATCTGTACCTCCGGCTGCTGAAGATCCTGTGCCTCTGCGGGAGCACCTGCATTCATATGTGCATACCCATATACAGACAGACAGACACATATACACACACTCACACATGTAATTAAAAATAAGTCTTCTGTTAAAACACAGAAGGTGTTTAAAATTCTTTGTTTCCCACAATTAAATCATTATGTCTCTTTTTTGTTAAGATTTTGTTTTTAACTATGGGTAGATGAGGGGAGGCAGTATGCACCATGTGGGTGCAATGCCCACAGAGGGCACTGGATTTCTTTACAGTTGAAATTACTATGCAGTTATAACCCACCCACCATTGGTGCTGGCAACTGAACTCAGGTCCTCTGCACAAGCAGTATCCCCTCTTAACCACTGAGCCATTATGTTTCTACAAGAGCAGAAAACTATGTGTACAGGGAGAAAAAAAAAAAGCAACAACAGAAACACATCAGTGCATAACATATGATAGTCCTAAATCTGCATTGAAACATTTCAAGCAGAATGTCATATTGCATGATGCAACAGTATGTACACTGCAAAATGCATTTGTCTTGTGTTCAGAACCAAGGCTACAGTGAAGTCATACAACGCAGCACAGGTAAGCACTGCCAAAAACACCGCCAACATTTGATGTAAGGAACCCAGCTGTGGCTATCCTGAGACCAGAGGACAGATGTCAAGAAAGCTTCCAAAACAACATGCACATGGATCTGACTCATGCTCAGAGTGCTAATATCGGCAACTCACGAAAACTGTCTTCCTAATGAACATCTATTCTGTAAGCACAAAAGAGGGACAAGCTGAGTATAAAACAGAACAGCTACAACTGACCTAAACAAGACACTCTTCATCTCGGGAAGAAGATGAATGGGAACAAGACAAACAGCACAAGCCATGATCCTGGGAGAAATCAAGTCATCTTGGACTTCATCTTTTTCATCTACAAAAAAGAAAATTCCTATTTCAAGAATAATTAGATAAAATATGACTATATATTTTTCCTTTTTTAAAAATATTTATTTATTTATTTGTTAATTGTACAATAGTCTATCTGTGTGTATGTCTGCAGGCCAGAAGAGGGCACCAGACCCCATTACAGATGGTTGTGAGCCACCGTGTGGTTGCCGGGAATTGAACTCAGAACCTTTGGAAGAGCAGGCAATGCTCTTAACCACTGAGCCATCTCTCCAGCCCGACTATATTTTTTTCAAGTGGCACACTGAGACTCACTAGGTCTTAAAATTAATTTAGTGGGTCACAACTAGCCACACATACACACGTGCCAGAACGCAGGTGGCTTCCAGGAGAGAGGTGAGTAAACAGAAGACATCACACAGGAGCCCCCCACCCCACCCCCAGGGACTGGGGATGTTCTGTTTGATCTGATGTGGCTGAAGGTACAGGCTTAATTTATGAAAAGTCGCTGGGAAATTACCATGAGTGGACATTTCTGCACATCTGTTAGAGTTCAACAAGGATTTACAGAAAGAGTAGATATGATAAAATCAAAGAGCAGCAAACTTGGACATGTTCACAGATTACTGTTTTGTAGCAGGGACGAGGTGACACCTTTAATCACAGCACTCAGGAGGCAGAGGCAGGCAGACCTCTGAGTTCGAAGCCAGCCTGGTCTACAGAGAGCCAGCAAAGTATTGTTTTGTGAAGCTTTTATTCCCAAATCACATGGACATGGAAGTTGACACACACAGATGAAAACCCTAGTGTTGGGGCCAACAAGGGTGACGGGGCAGACAAAAGACACCCTTTTAACAATGAAAATCTTGGGTTTGAGGGTATAGTTCAGTGGAAGAGCACTCAGGTAGCATGTGCTAGGCCCTGGGTGTGACCTGCAGCACCACACTAAACCCCTGCATGATACACTCTGAAGAACAGCTTTTCCCATTGCCCGTATTCACTGTGAGGCTCACCTGTACCAAATGTACTCTTTTAGAAGCCTACTTCCCTGAATAATCCTCAGAAGAAAAACAACCAATAAGGCAAAGGTTCTGTTTGAAGACAAACTCCCAATAGGGTTCAAGGACTTTCTAAAAAGGATGTGAAACTAAAGAGCATCAGTGAGAGACAAATAGGAAATCCTGTCTCGGAGACATAAACCAGATTACTAACAACTAAAGGCCAGTCAGCACGGGCCTATGTCCTCAAAGTTACCACACAACTGGGGAGCCCGGAGCAATGTCAGGCTAAGAGGAAGAGTGGGGTTTAGTGGTCCCACCATTCCCTCCCCCTGGAGTGAACAAAAATACCTAAGTCAATGTCACCACTGATGTATATCTTAAGAGGACATTTCATTTAATTCTATGTTTTGAATTTATATTTAATAAACTCAATTAATGTGAGACATTTTGGTAAATTTTAATTGGAAATAATATTAAAATTTTACCTACTAACCTACCCAGGAAGAATAATTAATGTGCAAAATTACATTTTTATCAACTTGGGTTTTTAATTACTATTCTGTGGTATATCCAAACACTGCATATTTGAACTGCTTGATTTTATTTATTTCTTAACTCCTAAGCACTTTTAAATAAAATACTTGGTGTGTTAATGAAGCATTAACACATATTTACCTGGTACTTCAGCACTAAAATAAAACACTGACAGGCCAATTTCCTCTGTGCTTCACACCACCTTCCTCACTAACTCCTCCCTAAATCCCAGGCTTGGTTCTCACTGCCCAAGCAGTTGTTAATCTTCACAGTTGATTTAGCACCAACTCAACCTCAACCTCCTGATACTGGGTCCAGCCATCTGAAACGAGTCCATGGCCGAGTCTGCAAGAAAATCAGGCCTGTGAGTCCAACACACACGGCGGCTGCAGAACTCTAAGAGGCAAACCTGAGACCATCTGCTGAGAAGATGGCAGGAGGTGCCACCCAGTGGAGATGTGGACAGTGATATCCACAGAAGCAGGGGAAGATGGTATGGAAATGGCTGGAGGGTCCTGAGAGTTTGACAGAGGAGGCTGGGGCTCTGTGGACCTCATTTCACACTGCCCCAGGATATTCCGCTTCCACAGTATGCAAGCCTCAAGAACTCTAGGCGCTGATTTTTTGGAGTTAATCTTGTATCCTGCTACATTACTGAAAGTGTTTATGAGTTGTAGAAGTT